ACCGCGCCACAGTGCAGCGACTCCCATTAGCAGATGCGCAGGCAGCATCCAGCAGAGGGAGGTGGGGCCTGGGTGCTTCACCAACACTGCTTCACCAACACCTGCCCTCCGCCACTCTCCTTCCCACTCCTGTGCCCAAGCATATACAAAAGGCAGTCCTTCCATGAGTGTTCAGAAAGTTTTTATTGGTTACAAGTAAGTAAAATGCATCACTCAAATTCCCCCCTAGTTACTGTGTTTGCAGTCACAGCAGTAAGTCTTGCGCATCGGACACGCCAGGGATGGACCTGGTGCTAGAAGGGGAGCGGCAGTAAGCCCCAGCTTGTCTGTCAGTAACTCCTCTTTCTCAAGGCTACATTGGTCAGAATTAACAAACAATCCCTTTTGTATGTCAAATTGTAAAGTTTAATGTTTCCATTAGAATAGTCTTTTATAGCAGTCTCCAACAAGAAGGAATAAAATAACTAACAGCAAACTTCAATACAGGAACACTCTCCAGATTAACAATGCAAACAAAAATAAAATGTAAATCACATATAATACAATTGAAGTGTCCAGAACAATTTAAATAATTTTAAATATTTTATTTTTAAAACTGCTACAAATGCTTTATACAGTATTTCAACATAAAGTCCCCATAACAGAAATGTAACAAAATGGGAATGATAGTGAAAGGGTTAAACTGGCACAAATTCACCAACCAAGTATTAAGCTACAGATTTTAAGAGGTAGATTACTTTTAAAGTTGAGAACAAAAAACCGTAGGAAAAAAACCTAGCCATTTTTCACCAACTCAGTCATTAATTTGGAGGGAGGCACAAAACGGGTGGAGAAGTGATTCTCACAGGCACGGGAAGAGGCCGATCTGCCTCCACCTCCGCGGGACTGGAGTGTGAAACCTCGCAAGTGAATGCACTTCCACCTCCGTGGAGCACGCAGTGCATCTGCACGGGCCTGGGACACGTCCTGTGTGCTGACACACTGCTACACAGTCTCATAATATATTAGCTATAAATTAGTGCCAGATAATACTGAGAGGATAGTACCCACTTGGACATATAAACACGACATTAGAAGAGGCACAGAAAGTCCACATCCAGCCTGGTTTCCTCTCCATTATGCTGGCAATCTGCTTGTGATTTAAAAGAAAAAAGGAGGGGGTGGGGTGCGGGTGGGTCAGAGATCAGCCAAATGCCTCTCTCTGTTTATTGTTTATTTAAAAGAAAGGCATCAAGAGCTGGTGGCGATCAAATGTTTTAAATGAGTGCATCTGAATCTGTCTCCCTGAAATCTACAATAAACGGATCAAACAGAGAACTTGCTTTGCAAGGTGAAGATCAAATCATTCCCTTCTCTGCTATGTGCCAAAGACAAGGGCCACACTCAGATCTGAGTTCCAGTCCCGTGACGAGCAGCCAGTTCATCTAGGCAGACTGACAGCGCCCTTTCCTCTGGATGTCAATCACCCTGGAGCCCAGCGCGCGGATGGGCCCCGGCGCAGGAGCGGGTGCCTGACTCTAACCAGGGCAGCAAGAAGCCTGGAGGCAATCAGCTGTATGTTACGACTTTTGAGTCAGCTTCAACTGGTCTTGCAAGCTTGGTAGATTTCGTATCCTTTGCCGTAGTGCTTATTCTAAGTTGAGCATGCAATATCTTTTAGTCAATTAAGGTTTGTTTTGTTTGGGGGACTTTTCTACAGGAAGTTCCTAGAAAATAAGAAAACTGAAGATAAATGACAACATAACATAACCTTACATGAATTGACCATGTTAAAGAAAAAGGTGACGAGACCGTAAGACAAATGTTAAAGAGACAGTAACATACAGATGACGCTGAAGCTAGGTAAGAACTCAGCATCCTGTCCCCAAAACATGGGCTCTGGGAGAACTGCCAGCAGGGACCTTTCCAAGCAGTGCAGCAGAGAAGGTCAAGGCCAGGGAGAGCAGCTTTCAGCTCATGAAAAATGGGACAGCCCAGCCTGGCACTTCACTCCACTTCTCTCTGTGTAAGTTAAGTTTCCTAGACTGGCCGCAATGGAAACTCAGTATCAAAAAATAAATACCGTGCTCTACGAAGAGCATTAAGAATGTGAGAAGATCCTGGGGCCTACAAGGATGAGATGGGCATCGCTGGAGCTGTGGTAAGGAATTTAGGTTCAGCCCCGCGTGCAAGCTTGGGGAGGCTGTGCCCGCCAGCTCGGAGCACCAAGCCACCAAGGCGTGGAAGGACGCTACGCGCAGTGGAGCACCCGCTTTCCTTCACTGCACTGTCCTCAGGAAGCAAATTCATGGGACACATGGCTTTGTCACATCTTGAATGACACAATAGCTGATGAAACTGCTAAGCTCTCAGTGTTAAACAGTAACTCCCTACTACAGTCTCAGGGCAGTGCTTTGGAAATCCTGAACTAGCTTTCAAATACACGCAAAAACTTGAGTGCTGAGGACCAGCTCACAGGGCCGCTCAGGACACGGCTGTGAAGAAGCTGGAAAAAGAGGTGCTGTGCATCTGTGACAAGACCTTCAGTGCACAACCAGGAGAGCAAGACGCCACCACCGGAGTGAACGAGAAAGCAAGGATTTCTCAACGCGAGGACAGGTGTCCTGGGTACTGAAATAATCTCTGAAGAAATCCTCAAGTGGAAATACACTGAATGGAGGCCAAGTGCAACCAAGTACAACACACACACACACTGAGGATGAGGCTCACTCTGGAACAGCCCTGGCACAGTGTCAGGCAAACTGTCTGAATGGCAAGCCTGGGGTCTGAGCTTAGGAGTCCCACTTTATACTAAGAAGACCGAAACAAGCTGATGACATGCCCGCTCCTGTGTCCAGTGTCAAAATGCCAAGTCCTGTCGCGTTTTTTCCCCCTTAATTCTCAAAGCACTTCCTGAGGGAATGGGGACTAGATGCATGTACACGTTACCCTGGCTCACTACAGTGTGTCCACAGCACACTTCCAGCAGCTCACCGAAGTAGGCCGAGCTGCAGGGATGCCTGACGCCACCTTCCTGCAAGACCACACCAGCGCTTCACATTCGATTCTCCTGTGCTTCCTCTTAGGAGAAATTTCACGCCAGTACTGTAACCCTCTTAGGTAAAAACAAAGCAAAACAGCTAAAATGAACTGGAGGAAAGAAGAGAGACACTCTTCTTTAGGCATTCCAGCACTCGCTATGCTCGAGGGCTCTTCAAAGCACTGGGGAAGAGGAAAAGTGAATACATTTCTTAAATGCGTACTCAGCTCTGCTTAACAGTACCTAACATTTCTCCATGCGAAGTTTATCCTGAAGTTGTATAAATACTGTTGAGTATAAAAAAAAGTGATTCTTTTTGATGTCAGAAGCAAAAACCGTTAGACAGGACACACTAATGCACTTAGTACAATCTGTGAAGAAGGTGGCATGTTCTGGTAGAGACACGGCAGCCTGAAAGCACATAGATCCGTGTGGTGGTACTGGCGTGCAGCCTGCAGACACAAGGTGGGAACAGGTAGGGGCCCAGGCCGGCAGCCACAGCAGGCGGCAGCCACGGCAGGCGGCAGCCACGGCAGACCGGCTTCTCAGCAGGGCCTACATGATCGTATCTACAGCAACTGAGCTCTTTAACACATTTAAGAAGTAGCTTTTAAAAATTATGACACTTTAATTCTACAGTAAGCCACTCCAATCATCCTTGGCCGATACTACTCTTTACATCTTTTTTTCTTCCCTGTTTTTGGAGACAGGGTCTCGTATCATCCAGGCCAGCCCTGAGCTCTCAGCGATCCTCCTGCCTCAGCCTCCCTAGTGCTGGGATTGTAACTATGCACTACCACACTGGGCTGTACATCGTTCTTTATCCATAATTTAATTACTTTATCAATGATAAAGTGACAATGACACATTTGTGTCCTCATGAGCTCTCTAAATAGTGGGTGCTCCACAGTTATCCCTAATACTGGTTGCTTAAATACCAAAAAAAATTTAAGGTACTAAAAATCAGACCCATGAAAGGCCAGAGCCAGGTCAGACTGCATACCCTAAAAAGACAAGAGTTTGAAGTATTTGCAGAAACGCCATCTGATGAAGAAGCCTGTCATAGACTGAGCTGCCAGTGTTACAGGAAACGGCAGAAGTCGCAAGCATGCACAAGTCAGGCAAAGCGACTTAGAGCGGTCACCACCAGTCTAAGACAAACCCTACATTACTACCAGGGAAAGAGGTAGCAAATGTGGCTGCCTTGCCCTGGGGACCACACGTGCTCGAGAGTACCTCAAGGCCCTGCCTCCCTGCAGTTCTGAGCATGGTCTCCTGCTCTTCTTCCCCTTTGAAACCCGGCTTGTTGACCTCTCCAGGGCCAGAAGTAGAGGAAGTGAGTAACACAGGGCAGTTTTAAGAAATAAGGAATTCTGCTTTGACCAATATTGCCAATCTACAATTCAAACACTGGCAATGAAAGAGCATCAAAATAAAAGCAGCCCGTTACTAACAGCTGTGGTTGTCACAAAACACTGAATAAGACTACAAGATGGTATACTAATGCACCCGTGATCCTTCTTAACCTGAGAAGTCACCTATGAGGAGAGAGAATACAAAAGACAGAGGGAGGCGGGGGATGTAGCTCAGCGTCGCAGCGCCTGCCTGGCAAGCACGAGGTCCTGAGTTTGAACACTGCCCCCCAAACACACTGAGATATTACCCAAGATATGAGGAAGCTCTGAGAGAACTTCATCTTTTCACATTGGGCACTTTGCGGTTTGTTCATAGTTCAGATTTAATTCATACCTGGCCCTAGTGAAGAAAATGGTTCCTGTTCGCCCTAAAGCTGAAATGAAAACTATTCCTGTTTCTATGGCTGCGAATCCAGTCATTTTTTCATACCTACCGCTTACCCGAGTTATTATTTATTTTAAATGTCAAAACTGTATAGGAAAACACAGTAAAACATACTAAGAACACCTGCTGGCAAGCCTCCAGGCCTCTCCACGCCCTCGCCCCACCCAGCCTCTGCGCTTACCTGAAGTCCTTCAGCTCCTGCTTCGCACTGCTGTCCTCTCTCCTGCTTTCACTTGGGTCTGCAGCAGCTGCCAGCTGAAAGCTCCGGGTGACCGGGCCCCCACTCCGTTCTCTAGATTTTACACTGAACCGGTCTGTTCTTTTCTTGCTCGCCAGAGCAGACTTGCTTTGTAAAACCGCTTTGCTTTTCTGCACCCGCACGTGCAGGCTCCGGGACGGCTTGCCAGTGAGCTGAGCAGAATGACTCTTGGCCACGGCTTTGGGCTTCTTCCCCTCCACGTGCGCCACTCTGGCCACTCGGATGGGGCTGGAGTTCCTCAGGGAGGACGAGCTGGGTTTCTTGGACTTGACGGAAGCTGCGAATCTGACGTTCTGCTTGGACCTGAAGGACGAGGTGGGGAGCGGGGCCGGCGCGGGGCCCGAGCTGCGAGCCCTGGTCTTACCCAAAGGCGCCTGCGAGCCCTGCATCTTAATCTCCGCGTCCGCTGTCCGTCTGCGGTGGTTGTTACTATTCCTGTCACCACCTGCGGGTGACGGGTGTCCACCTTTCTTGGCTGAATGAGAAACTTTTTTTTTGGAAGGAGAAAGGGGCTTTTTGGGACAGCTAAAAGCAGCGTGCTTGTTCAGGCTTCCGATGTAAGTGAACTCCCTGTTACAGTACGGGCAGATGTGAGAAGACGCCTCGGACGTGTTCTTCAGGTCGGCCTTCTGCTTGGCAGATTTGTTTTTTTGAAGGATTGCTTTCTGTACAAGCTGATTTTTTTTCTTCAATGCATTCAACTTGAGCTTATTTGGTGACATTTTGCTGAGCTCAACACTAAAGTTCAGCCTTTTGGGCTGTCCCATTCGCCTGAAGGCATTTTTCCCCGAACTGTCCAAAACCACCACTCCGTTTTTGGGTTGTACAGTTTGCTTCAGTGGTACTGGATTTTTCTTAGGGGTGTACCTCTTCTTGTCACTCGCAGAAGCACACGCCAGGATGTGTTTGTGCAACTCAGGCATGTTGTCAACACCTTTTCCACATTTCGTGCAGCGAATGGCAGTGGTGAAAGTCTGTGGAATATTGTGGGTAGTGAAATTCGTGGCCGTCACCCCAATACCCATGGGGTTGCGGTGGTGGTACTGAAACGGAGGTGGCTTAAAGCTCGGGTAATGCTGATTGAGACCCAATCGGACATCGGGATCTTTCGTCTTTATTCCAGAGGCCATTATCTTTATGGTGGTATAAAGCTCTTCAGAGGAATCGTTCAGGTCTTCCTCTTCTTTGGAGGTTTCCAAAGGATCTTCTGGCAGGCCCGGCATGTGCTCCATCTGGGCCTTGCTGGGGTCCGTGAAGTTCTGGGGCCTCAGGGTCCCGCTTTCGAACTCATGGTGTGTACACACCTCATCAGGGTGCAGATCTCGCTGGTGCTGCTGCAAATTGCACAAGAAAGCAAATTCTTTTTTACAAACGGAACACACAAAAATATTTCCAACTCCATGCAGCAAGAGTCGATGTTCTGACAAATCTGACTTATCCCTGAAAAGCTGCACGCAGAATTCACACTTGAAGGGCCACTCCTCAGCATGGACAGACAAATGCTTGCTTAGATCTTTAATGGAAAGGAAAGGGGATTCGCAGACATTGCAGATGAAGTTTTTGTTGAACGTTTCCTGAACAATATCCTGCCCAACTGCAGACTGGGGCTCCTCCCTGGGCTTCGGGCTTTCGGTCTCTACTTCCTCTTGTTTAAATGTCATTGCAGGGAGAGAAGCCTCCAGGTTATCGCCGGAGGACACCACAGATGACACGGCTGAGAGAGGGGGTGGCGATGGGGATGAAGAAGAGGAGGAGGAAGAGAATGAAGAGGAGGATGAGGAAGATGAAGAAGAAAGCGTTGGAGGCCCAGGTGAAGCAGCTGGCAAGAGTGACTCCCCGGGAGGTGCAGGAGAAGGCGAGGGTGACACTGTTGGGGAAAGAATTGGAAGTGGAGACTGTGCAGTTGCATTGGAGAGTGGAGAGGAACATCGGTGAGGAGATGCACTGGAAGATGGGGCAGGAAGAGGGACAGTTGGAAGGAGGGGTGGGGGTGGAGTAGCAACCGTTAGCACAGGAGGACATGCCAGGGGAGAAGGGGGATCGGTGGGGATCAGGAGAGGAGGCAGCTGACTGGAGGGCTGGGAAGGCATCTGTAGGGTGGGGGATGAGGGGCACACTTCAGGGGGCAATTCAGCAGCAGGGGTGGAGAGGTGAGAGTCAGACCCGAGGTTGGGATCTGGCTGGGCTTCTAGGGATTTACAAGGGCTTGGGCTCCTATTCACATCAGGAGTACTCTCTACAGGTAAGTCTATACCATTATATTCATTGAGAAGAACCTTTTGCAGCATGCAGGTGGTTGGTTTCTTTTTCTTTACAGCACTACAGGTTGGCTGAGCTGCATGGTTTTCCTTGAATTCCTTGCCTTCAGAGTCACTGCAAGGCTTTTTATGCACGCTGAGGTCTAACACAGACTCCCACTGGACGGGAGTCTTGCCAGTCCCCTCAGCCTTCTGTTTGACTCCACTGGATAAATCCAGGGGTTGCTGGTTGCACACATTGCTAAAGGTAGAACTAGCCACCCAGTCTTTGGATAATTTGTACTCATCGAAGGAAGGAGGGCTCCCACTTTCTCTCTCCTCTCTCCCAGGCAGACTCCAGGCAGGTGAGTCGCTGCGACTTTCTAACTTGGGTTTCTTGGGAGTGAGCCCCGAGTCTGACCACGTAGCTTTTCCATCGCTGGGCTTCCCAAAGTCTCGAGGGGCAGGACTGTGCTGCGGAGAGCTGGGCGGGGAGCTGGTCCTCCTCTTAAACCTGCTTGAGGTCACAGCTAACATGGATGCAGGCGCAGACACACACACGGGACCCAACTTAGAGACTTCAGATGCCGAAATCCCTGCAGGAGGAGCCAGCTTATCCTGGGTTTGAAGGAGCTGTTTGAGCTTTGAGGACAAATAAACACTCTTCTCTCTGTGGAAAGACACAGCCTCTGTTGTGGATATGCTGAGAGGCAGGGTCAAGGAACACGACGGGGCAGCGGGGTCAGAGTCTGTCTCGGCTTTAACTTGGGGCAGCACAGGTGGGCTTGCAGTTCTCCGTTTCTTGGCCTCACAGTTTGTGCTGCTTGCAGGCTCTTTAGCAAGCTCATCTGTTACAGGGACCAGTGTGGTCTTTACATTCTGAGTAATTTCTACTGTGACCGGAGTAAGCAGACAATTTATGCCGTATAAGTCTGCAGAATTAGCCTCCATCTCAATCACATCACAGTTACTAGTGCTGTTGTTGGTCTGAATTTTGCCATCAATGTAGTAATTTAAGTTTTCCGAGATGTTGCTAGAAATGTCCATGATGTAGACATCATCTGCATCCCCCTCCTCCTCTGGCTCCGTGCTTGGTACGTAGACACTGGGGGCAGGCTGGGCCTGCTCCGCAGGGGGCTGTGGCTCATCGAGGAGGCCACCTTTCCGCCGGACGCCTTTGGGAATCAGGTGGCGTTCGTGAACTCTGCGCTGATGTCGTCTCATGTTCGTGTGAGTGCCAAACACCTTCTTACAGTATTTGCATGGATGAAATTCCTTCACTCCCCCGTTCTCCTCCACGACAGAAGGAGCTGCCACTTCTTGGGACACTTTCTCCGAGTGTGAGGTCAGGCAGTCTTGTCCAAGATGGGGAGGTGGGGTCGGCTCATCATGAGCAGCAGCATTTTCTCCAGCAGCCTTGCTGTCAGCTAGGTCCTCGGATGGCTGCACCACTACACTGGCTTTTCGCTTTAGACCTGCTTCGTGGCGGCGCTCATGCCGTCTCCGGTTAATCTGAGTGCCGAACGCCTTCCCACAGTACTTGCACTTGAAAGCATGGTTGATTGTAGACATGTGGATATGCATGTGGCGCTCCAGCCCCTGCTTGGTGGTAAACTTCCTTTCGCAATGCTGACATGGAAACATGAACGTTTCAAATACATCACCATTGACCTCCTCCTTGGCTTCAGGGATTCTGATAAGTGGAGTCACTTCGGAAGAGTCTTCAGGAGCTTCATTTGAAATACTTTTTGTTTCTTCGAATAAATCCTCTGGCTTCTCATCGCAATGTATCTCTGGCTCTTTCACAGAACTTTCACTGGGCACGTCGGCTTCTTCCTCCCCTTCTTCCAGTTCATCTTCTTCTTCCTCTTCTTCTTCCTCCTCCTCCTCTTCCTCCAGGTCATTCGCCTCGCAGTCTGTGGCTTGTTTTGCTTCTGGCTCTGGTTGGGGCTCACAGGCAGGGGGAGGAATCTGCAGCTCTGGAAGCATGTCCTGGCTGACCACCTCCTGTGGGGCGGGTGGCTGTTCAGGTGCTTCAGCCAAAGACCTCTCTTCCTCTTCTTTAGGGCCTGGAAGTAAAAAAACACAGAGGTAAGGGCAAAAATCTGCCCCTCTTTGATCAATTCCTATGATTCTGCCTATTATCACCTAAGAAGTGTGACGAAAAATTAAATAAATTCCACTTTATATAGGTCATTTATAAGTTAAAATGGTATGAATCCATCTCACTCATTCATTCAACTATTTAGAGAGTACTTGGTTTGCACCAGGCAACATTCTGGACATACAACTGCCAAGAACTCCCATCCTGCACTTAGATTCAGCGATGTGTATAGATACACATATATCTACAGCTTTAACAAACTGTAGATCAGGCATGGTGGCACCTGCCTGGCATTCCCAGCATGTGGGAGACTGAAGTGGGACTGTTATGAGTTGGAGGCCAGCCTGGGTTCCACTGGGAGACCCTGTCTCAAAAACAAACAAAAAACATAAAGAAAAACTATACAGCTTGGGGATAAAGGCATGAATCTGAAAATATACATTAAACTATCCTCCCACCCCCTAAAAAGGTGATGCTACCAAAGAGGGCAGGAAAATGGGTTGATAGGGATGAAAATGATGAAATTATGTTCTGTGCATGTATAAACCCATCAAAAGGAAACCTATTAATCTGCATATGTACTAATAAAATCTGTATATATACTAATAAAAAATGTGAAAAAGGTTTTATCAATCACAGTTGTGTTGGGAGTTACAGCGTTTACAGCTGTGCTGGAATCGCAGCTACTGAATTTCAGGAGCCTACCTATAAATTTCTATTTCTCATGATTCCAAACTGAAACAAAGAACTTGCTAAATGTATCACCAAGTTAAATTCTTGACAGTGCACCTTGAGAGAGTGACCACTCTCCTTTGGGACTAAACCACTTACTGAGAAACTAAAACACTTTATAGGATACTCAGAAGACTTGCAGGTCAAACACACTAAGAAGAAATCACTTCTTAGTTTTAAAATATCTAAGGAGAGAAGTCCTCCCATAGCAAATTTATAAGCTCAGAGTTAACATCATGCTAGACATGGTCAAGAAAGTAAGACTGGGGGAGGGGTGGGAAGACAAAGAAAGAGGGCCAAGATGAGGCCAAAGAGGTAACCAGGGGCACCTACTAACATGAGACATTACAGGCTGTTGGCCTTTATTGAGACAACAGAGCTGCCAGAAGGTTCTGAGAAATGACATGACGTGATGCATCCAAGAGAACCACAGATGCTATCAGGAAGATGGAAAACTCTAGGTGGACAAGCAAGACAGATGGACAAGAGAGGCCTGTTCTATGCTCCAGAAGGGCATGGTGGTGACACAAGAGGTGGCGGGGCTGCAAGAGCTGACCAGAAGAGGTTTAACTCTGATACGTATTTTGGAAATAAAGCCAAAGCACTGCCTGTGGATGGGCTGCGGTGATTGAGAGGCACTAGGAGCGACTACACTAAAGAGCCACAATGCCATTCACTAAATGCTAAGGCTGTAGGAGCAGCAGGTTTGGTTGTGTGTGGGAACACTGCGTGGGAAACCAAGAGCTTACTTTGGCCACAGTGGAGTTTAATGTATACAATGTGATAGCCAAGTGAAGGCTTATATGCATAGGTTTTTGGGTTTTTTTTTTTTTTTTTTTTTTTTTGGCGGAACCGGGGATTGAACTCAGGCCCTTGCGCTTGCCAGGGAAGTGATTATTCCATTGAGCCATCTCCCGGGCCCCAAAATGGCAGAAAGGTTTTTTTTTGTTTTTTTTGGGTTTTTTTTGCTTTCTCAGAATGCCTTCAGGGCATGTTTGCCTGGCTGGAGTTGTGGGGATCCAACCACAGCAACCTGAGGCAGACTGCTTTGTTGAAGCAGCCTATGCATAGTTTATGGATCTAGAGCCTAGTGATGTCCCAGTCCTCGGGTAGAAAAGGAGGATAGGAGACAGCACTGTGTACCGGGGACTGCACTGCTGAGAAGGTGGGCAAAGCCCAGTGAGGCCTCTGAAGAGCAAGAGCACAGCCTGGTGACTCATCCACATGGCTGCACTGACAAAGGTTCTACAATCTGAGGTACAGGATCTCAGGACAAATCCTGAGGGCATTTCACTGACCTTCTCAGACCAAAAAGCTACAACTCTTGTTACACAGGTCCTGCTTTACCTTGGTCTTAACCATCCAGTAGAAAAGTATGAAGACAAAATATAGGAAATAAAGCCATGCTGTTAAGTTGAGCTGTGGGGGACTCAGGTCAATAATTTCTGACATTGCCAGTTAAACAGAAGACCCAATGCTATTATGGGCTACTGGACTCTTTTAGAATACTTTGCTGAGTTTACACACCTATAATATTCAATAACGGAACTTAGAAAAAATGAGGTATACCTATGAATGTCCATTTTGTATCTGTGTATTCAAAGTGGTTGGGATAGATATATAGTTGCACTCTCTTAATGAATAGAATGATTTGTTCTAATGGTGTCTGTAAATAGGATCACAAGTCCGCATCTTGTACAGCAATTAACCACTAAGAAGAATATATGCAGTGTATTATTTGTTGAAACTGTACTTCCGATTTGATTTGAAACTGTCTCATTGCTGTTTAAAAGAGCACAGCCTGCAGGCCAAGAGCCCTGTTTCAAGGAGACAATGAGCGACTAATTCCAGTGTGGGCCACAGGTAAGATGAAAACTAAGAGCAGAACACTGCTTCCGAGGAGGTCTGGTGGCCAGGACAACAGCTACAGTGCAATGGTGAGAACAAATGCTTAATGGAGTTTATAAAGAATGGAAGGAGAAGCTCTTTCAGGGCTCTCTGTAGAGGAAGACACAGTGGGCTAATATCTGGACGGAAAGCATTATCTGGACGAGAATGAAGCGGAGTTATTTCCCCAACTGCTCAACAACTATGTACTAAGGACATACCACATGCAGCACTAGAAAGCAGGATTCCTGCAACCCATCCTTCACTCACTTTTAACATGTCTATATGGACCATATCCATAGCTACAACTATAGGTAGGTAAAGCATAAGCATGCAGTAGGGTGAAATGTTAACCAAAGCTGTAAGCAACTATCCCCTAACATATGTGGAGTCTGGAAACACTGGAGGCAGCTAACTTGGTTGGGCTAATGAGGGAAGGCTTCACACAGAGAATATTCAGCAAGCCAAACCTGAAGCATATACAAATCAGTGACAGCAGAGGAAAAGCTTACAGGGAGGAATCAAACGTGCAGGACACTGTGAACAAGTGTGGATTTGTGTGGAGGCACTGGACACCAATCAAGGTGTTCTGGAAGATGGCAGGAGAGTCCGTCTCGTGTAGAGACTGGGTCTATTAAAGGCCTTGGGAGGAGGACTTTGCCTGATGTGGAGACCAAACCTGATAGCATGGTGCTGGGATGGGCAAAATGGTCTAAAAAAAATGGGAACAGAAAAAAGGCGTGAGAGGCAGGAAGGCTGGCCCATCTGTCCAGACCCAACACGCTGCTGCTAACAGACAGAAACATCCGCCGAGAGTTCGAGCCACGTAAGGTGAACACAGGCGCAACTGTCTGGCGCTGTGCTCCTGCAAAGACAGCCCAGCCCTACTTCTCCCAACAGGTACCACATTTAGTAGCAGCGAGGCTCCTGCTTCTAAATGGACCCGGCCTTCCCCCCCAGCCAGTGCACTCATTCCACGAGGCTTCGAGAAGATCAGGCCCCAGCATCCAATGTGGCAATCCCATCAAAACAGGGGCGTTTTTTAAAAATATATATTTTAACAAGAACCCAAGTCAAAAGCAAAGTCAAAATAAGACAACAGAAAATCTAGTTCTAAAGTTCAGGAATTCTTTCTAACGCATACCCGTCACAGTATGTCTTTCTGTGACAAAGGATAGAGTCTTTCTGTGACAGATGAACCACCTGATTTAAAACTGGTCAAAGTTACAACAAACCAGTGTTTGATTTCATCAAATCGTAAGGCCCACATCAAAGTTCATCCATACACCCAGTGTGGCCTGCTGAGTTTTAAACAGAAAGGGGTGTGGGGAACACAAAGACAGCCTGAACTGTTTGCACTTTTTATAGTCCAGTTGCTGAGGACAATGCAGAACATTCAAGGAGGCCAACGACTACACTACACAGGCCTAAGCTCACTCTAGAGAACAGAGCCAAAATTGGACAGGCAAGAGCAAGACTCTTTGTTCTCAGGAAATCGTGGTGTAGCAGGAAAAAGGAACTGTCTTGAATTATTTCTTTTTTTTTTTTTTTTTCTCTCTTGATACTGGGAATAAAACTCAGGGCTTTGTGCTTGCCAGGCAGGTATTGTGTTGCTGAGCTACATCCCCGGCCCTTTGAATTATTGAGAAACTTTTTTTTTCTTTTTTTGTCACCAAAGGTAATAAACTCCAAGTTTGGTATCAGAAGGCAGAGCTCAGCTTTCCAAGGACCTGGGAGATGATGCATGTGTCTCTCTCCCCCCGACAGAGTAAGAGGTATTTACTGCTCACTGACACAGAACATGAAGGCAGGTTTAGGGACCAAGAGAGGAAGACAATCTCTGCTCTGCAATCAATTAATTTTGTCTTAAATCAATGACACGGACTTCCCAGGCAACCCAAGGACTCATCTGTACCTAGTTCCAGAGAACTCCATTGTTCCTGCTTCATAAAAGAGCAAAGAAAACCACACTTCTTTATGAATGCCATCATCACAAACAGTGCTAATAAAATGGCTATAAAAGGCCCCTAAAATGTGTTATTTTTGCCCTCCTACATCTGTTTCTTGACAGAGACGCAGCCTGCATTCTGAAACCTGGCTGCTTATACTACCATGAACAACACCTGAGCAAGCTCTGGGTTTGGCATAAACCTGCTGGTAACAAGTGAGGACACACCTCCCTCATTTCCACACCAAGTTCGAGGAATGGCTCAGCCACTGTGAGCCCGGAGCCACGAGGTCTCTCTGATGAACCTGTAAGCCCTGTCTTCCTACAGATTCTTACATCAAGAAAGGCCTACAATATTAATCCTGTGGGAAGCAACATGGAAAGATAAATCAACGATCTCAAGACTGGGTGTGGTGGTACACCTGTAATCCCAGTGCTTAGGAGGCTGAAAACAGGAGGATGACTACAAGTCTGATCTGTATCGTGAGACCCTGTAAACCCTATACTAAATATATAAAAAAACCAATTTAAATTCTAACAATAAAAGCACATTTCTTGTTACATAAACTCAAAGGTATTTTCAAATCAATGTTTTACTAAAGTGTGAAATGTGTACACGCATGTTAAAGTGGATAAATCATAAAGCAGATAGCAGACTGAAATGTTTACAAAGGAAACGACCCCACACAACCACCACACGGATTCTTAATGGACACTGCTAGTGTCCCAGAGGCCTCCTCATGGCCCTGCCGGGCTGGGCTTTACCACCATACATTTGTACTGATGGCTTTAAAGTTCATTTTCCTTATAAATGTTACCATGTAGTATGTTTCACTTCACTGAAACAGAATAATGTCATTTTTCAGCAAAGAGACTCTTTAATAATTTAATAAAGGGCACATAGGATGCGGAAGGTTCAATTCAACATATAAAATTCAGGCATCTTTTTTGCCTGAGTTTACCCCCCCCCCCCCGCCCCTTTGTAGTTCTTGGATCCCCAGAAAGGCAAGAGGAGACACAAAATTAACCGGAAACATATACCGCAAATGAGACAAACTCAGAGGACCACACTTACCTTCTGCAGAATCTCTCATATTTGCTGGGGTAAAATCTGGCTCACTTGTCTTCGGCTGTACGTCTTGGGGTTTGTTTCCTTTGTTTTTATTTTCCTGGGATTTTTTCTTCCCTGCAATACAACATTTGTTTACTCATTCATTATCATTCTGTATTCTTGAAGGAGACAATTATTAAACCTATCATAGCAAACTGTGTCACTTAGGATTCCTGAGGAAATGAATGATGAACACAGGTATTTTTAAGTCCTGCCAGAAAAAATATCTTTGAATCTTACATCTTTTAGAAGCTTGGGCTTGGCTTCCTTCACAACTGTAATAGCTACTAAATTAACAGTTGATATAGTCTCAGAAAGTTAAAAATATTAATTCAAAGAAAGATTAATACCAACAGCAAGTTTAATGCTCCACAAGTGACAGGTCTAGCAATTATCGAGAGCAGCAGATTAGAGAAAAATACTACTGTGCAGTGTGACATGGGGCCATTCTGGTTAAGACACGATTACTTCTATCTGTCAAAGCAAAACAATAGAAGTAGAGATGCCGCTGAATCACAAGGCACCCACGTGCACAACAGCTCCGATATCAAATGTAGAGAGGTTCTGAATAATTCACTGTCTGCCAGCATGGCCACCAGAAGGCCTGAGGGGTGAGATTCTACATCCAGCGCAGCTCAGTATCTCATTAGCAATTCGGGGGACAAAATTCAAGAGATGCCGTCTGCATTCCAAGTGACTCCATAATTTAAAAGGGAAGATTAAAATACACATCTCTCTGAGAAGATGAACAGTGAACTGAAGTCCTACATGTACTCAAAAGAAGCGCTAAGTAGACTGCCGGTTCAAAAGCTTGGTCTCCTAGGACTAACCCAGAACTAGGAGCCCGTTTTTAATTTCCAAATTCCTTTCTCCTAGCCCTCATGTTCTGCAGTATCCGGATGCCAACGGCCCCCACCATGTGCTGCTCTCTCCAGACAGGAAGTCCCCAAAGCCCACGGGCTGCCCTGCCTCTTCTGGGACAAGTTCCTCGCCATGCGCATCTCGGAATTAATAAAATCACCAATGAAAAACTACTCAGCTTCTGGAACACATGGAAAATTATATTCTCCGTAACAGACAACTACGACAGAGGGCTCCAATCAGCTAAAATGTGGACACTAGCTGAAAAAGATGAGGGACAAGACAGGGTTGCTGAAAAGACGGTTAAGAAATGGAGCAGTGAATTACAATACACAGCAAGTGACAATTCTAAAAAATGCCTCCTGATTTAGAAAAAAATTGAAGCGATGTAACAAGAAAGAAAAAAAGCATGAAATACTTAATAAGCAGTCATTTAGTTTGTTAGTCTTTAAAAGTAAATTCCAAAATGCTATGTTAAGGGCCTGGTTCTTCAGCCAGCACGAAAACCGCTTACAGACACATGCACGCATGCTTCATTCGGGCAGCCACGGTGCGCAGGAGTACCCCCACCTGCCGACAACACGCTCTTCATTTAGTCCCACATGTACTTAAGATGGAGCCTCGGACACAAGCATGACCTTCGCAAGAACCACATCCTGGTACAAAATCCGGGTCTATACTGCACCGGCAGCTTCACGTCTCCAGGCGGAGAACTGTAAGCGAATCCCCTCTGTAAGAGGCACAAATACAGACACCCCCGTCCACAGGGTTTACACTGGCCACTTCGTTCCTTAGCCATGCTATCACCATTTATCCTCCAGATGATGACAGAGCCTCTGGAGGGACAAGGGAATGCAGACTCTCTCCTGCTAGCCAGTTCTCTTGTCCCCAGTCTGACACATACCCTCCCCGTGTGTGGTGCTCAGCTGGCACTGGATTAGACAGTGGACAAACTACGCGTCCACAGACAAGCAAATAAGCGTCTATCTGCCTCCCACGGGAGCCAGCACGGTGCTACGGTGGGGCCTGAGGAAGCTCACAGCTCCTCTCTCCATCATGTGCAGGCCCAACTGCCTCTGATGCTCCACTCAAACGCGAGGCTCAGCCAGCTGGGCCTAGAACACCTCACGATGCCGCACACTGCCAACCCCAGTACTCTGGAGGCTGACTCACGAGAATCATGAATTTGAGCTGAGCCTGGGCTACTTAGTCAAACTTTCTGTCTCCAAGTAAAAAGGGCTAGAAATATAGTTCAGTGGGAGGGGCCTGGATTCAAACCCTGGTGCCACCTGAAGGGAGGGAGGGAGGGAATTAAGAATCACAGATGCTCTTCCTTCAATCCAAACCACAAAGCTTTCTATCTGTAGCACCTCATATACAAGGCAAGGTGAGGAATGTGACTTTTACCTAGTGACCATTTATTTTCTACTTCATATGATGTCTGTAAATAAATTAAAATGGAGAGGTGCGGCCTAAACCTGGCCTACCTGCACACACCTCACGATCCCCGCCCCGTGTGCTGCACAAGGCCAGCTGATGGGTCAAAAACAAACAAACAAACAAAAACAAACAAACAAAAAAAAAAAACAAAGCACACTGGCTTGCAGGTGAGTAACAAGATTTCTAGGCTCCTATTGTAAGACAGTGGAATTTCAACACTACCTTTCATTACAATATACTGAAAATGTAGTCACAAAACTTCCTAAAAGGTAAAGTTTTATTTTTAGTCCCTGCCTAAAAATGTGCTAATTGTCCATTTTTGGACTCCTCAAACGTAATCAGTGTGACATTCATTTTGTGCCCTCAGCGGTCTGCCTTGAAAGCAACGATCCCAGAAACAAACCCTGAAGAAAAGACTGAAGGAGGAAAGGCTCCTGTGCCAACCCAATTCAGAGGACAAGAGTAAGCTGCCTGCGATGGCTCTGGGGTACCCCAAAGTTTCAACTGCATCTGATGGCAGCAGAGTCAGGTGACTCTCAGCCGTGGTGGTGTGTCAGGTACTGGGGCTGTCTTGGAGCACTACAAGCTCCGCCTACCAGATGTCATCAGTGCACTGTCCCCCCACTGTGACAAGCACAAGTCCCCAGGGGGGAATCTCTCCAGGCTAAGAGATGTGGGGCTATACCAATGTGTGGTGTTTTTGAGTCACTAAAGACACATGGGACTCGGCAGATATGTGTTTACTGAAGGTGAAATAACCACTCAGATAACCCTAATAAAAACAAAGGAATGGAACAATTAAGAGTTGTCAGCAAAATGACTTGGTGACCGATGATACATCTCTAGCGTGACTCAAAGATCCTTCATTCAGGGATCTTAAATCATCCAACACATCAAACAATTTTCTCAACCTTAACCAGAAGCATCTTCATGGATTTTCTATTAGGGCTTAGACCAGAGTGAAAGGCTTATTATCAAAATCACCTGTCCTGCTTGCTAGTTTATGGTACAAACTGAAGACAGGGGCCACAGAGACATAAATCAGCCTGTGACACAGCTGGCAGTGGGCACTAGGGGTCCTGCTTACACAGTTGCTTGATGTCTCCAGGACAGATGGGGGAACCTGCTACGCGTTTTTCAGTCAGTAGTTCTTTCCTGTGTTTGAGTTCTAGCCTACATGCCAATAAGTTAAAAAATAAAATAAAATAAAAACCCAAACCTAGGGCAAGCCAAATGGCTCAGCAGATCAAAGAGCCTGCAAGCAGGCACAGGGGCCTGCAGTGTGGGCACCAGCCCCACCATGGGGCGCTCTGTGACGGCAACTGAGACTGGGTGTGGTGGCGCGTGCCTGTAATCCCAGCTCTTGGGAGGTTGTAAACAGGAAATCACCATGAGTCTGATCTAGCAGTGAGACCCTGAACACCCTGTAGACCTTTCCCTAAAAAAAATACAGGAAAGAAAAACAAACAAAAAGAAACACCCCATAACTATCAGGATTGTCCCAAAGCAGAGGGGCTTGCCTGGCTTCTATCTGCGAGGCGGGGGCACTGCAGGCGCCTGGCAAGTACACAAGTGCACTTACCATTGAGCTCCTGGGGGGTCCTACATGGTGCCACTGCCAGCTGGCTGCTCCACTTGGTCTAGATGAGAAAGATACAGGAATGAAACACAGAGAAAGTAAAGTGAAATGAGCACAGAGAAAAGCACAAGGGAAGGACAGGACAAAACTTTGTAAACAGAAGGTAAAGAAACACAAACAAGGATGGACAGGAGCAGGTGAAATGGAAGGAAAACAGCAGTTGTCCACTGCACCAGGGCTCTCACGTGCAAAACAAGTTCACTTCTGACGGTGGCTAGTCACCACGGTTAGGACCAACACAGCACACCTGTTCTTGGCCTGGACTACGCCTGCAGTTGTAACTTGACAGCCATACTGCTTAATTCTGTAGAAGACCGAGCAGTCCCAGTGGAGGCCTCTGCACTTAGCGCAGGCACTCAAGGTCCAGATATGAGTCACCTTTCCTAGGGCACAAAACTACAGTGACTCTGGGGCCAGAATGAATTATTTCTTAAGAACAACAATGGAGTATCTCTTAATTTTTTGTTCTTTACATCCACTGTCTCAACTGCAAGATTAAATAAATGACATGAAGCTGTCCTCTGTGTTGTACAGGAGTAATGATCAAGGGGAACATCACATTTGTCACCTTTTCCATTTTGACTTTGTTTTATGCCAGAAACAAATTACTGGCTAACAGCACAGACCCTGATCTGAACCAGGAGTGACTCACCACTAGGTAATACTAATGACACACGACTACAAGAGACACTGAGCAGCCACCAAGATGACTTTCTTAGACAACAGACAGTATCTTACTGCTGGGGTGCAAGTTGCAAAATCAAACTGCCTAAAGCAGCACATGAATAATTTAACCTACATCTGGACTATGTTGTACTATTCTAATAAACTAGACAAACACCAGGAAGTTCGGGAGAATATAATGTTCTACTTAAAAATGTTCAGGCACCAAAGGAATGCAAAATTCTAGGTTTGCTCAAGTTACATTAAAAATTCATCACAACAATGAAAGGCTGTGCATTCGGTGATTTAACAGAATTCAATTTAGAACTACAGAGCTCTGCATGTGGAGAGGAGCTACCCAACTTCAGAATACAAAATCAGAATTAAATACCACACACAGAAGGCAGAGCTGCCTGATCTTCATGTGGTAGACATACCTTCTTAGACAGCTGATTCCAAACTAGCAGCCCAC